GTAAAACACCTCTACACGTTAAACACCTCTACACGTTAAACACCTCTGACCACGATTCTACACGTAAAACACCTCTACACGTAAAACACATCTACACGTAAAACACCTCTACACGTAAAACACCTCTACACGTAAAACACCTCTACACGTAAAACACCTCTACACGTTAAACACCTCTACACGTAAAACACCTCTACACGTAAAACACCTCTATCCCTGCACTCTAAACCCCCTTTAGACCCCCATGGGCTGGAGCCGGCGGAAATGGCGAAGTTTTATTTTCAGCGATTGATTCGTGTCTCAGCGTCCATCTTGTCCCTCCCGCCCGACCCCTCGCTCGTCTTGGATCAATTTCTCCCCCCTCCCCCTCCCCCACCCCCACCCCTCCTGTTTTAGAACGATCACAAGAGAAAAACACCGTAATTGACTTGGATTTATTTTTTCATTTCGAGTTATTGTTCCTAGTTGAACCGGAAGTCAAAACCATTTTGGTTTGGGTTTCCCATAAGGCAACGGTACGGGAAACACACGTGTAGCATAGATTACAAGTTGATGAAATACTCGTCCAACATACCTGTCCAACATACCTGTCCAACACACTCGTCCAACACACTCGTCCAACATACTCGTCCAACATACCCGTCCAACGTACCCGTCCAACATACCCGTCCAACATACCCGTCCAACATACCCGTCCAACATACCCGTCCAACATACCCGTCCAACATACCCGTCCAACATACCCGTCCAACATACCCGTCCAACATACCCGTCCAACACAGCCGTCCAACATACCCGTCCAACATACCTGTGCAACATCCACGTCCAACGTACCCGTCCAACATCCACGTCCAACATACCCGTCCAACATCCACGTCCAACATACCCGTCCAACATCCACGTCCAACATACCCGTCCAACATCCACGTCCAACATACCCGTCCAACATCCACGTCCAACATACCCGTCCAACATCCACGTCCAACATACCCGTCCAACATACCCGTCCAACATACCTGTCCAACATACCTGTCCAACATACCTGTCCAACTTACCCGTACAACATACCCGTCCAACATACCCGTCCAACATACCCGTCCAACATACCCGTCCAACATACCTGTCCAACATACCTGTCCAACATACCTGTCCAACTTACCCGTACAATATACCTGTAAAACATACCCGTCCAACACACTCGTCCAACATACCTGTCCAACACACACGTCCAACATACACGTCCAACATACCTTAAACTTATGGCCGTCTGCACCGGTTGACCTCCAGTGTGCGCCTAATTTTTGGGGGGGGGGGGGGGCAACACTAATGTTGTTTACCTGTTTGTTGTAGCCTACACTACAGCTGTTTGTGTGTGGTGGGGAGGGGGGGGGGGGCTACGCAAAAGATAGATCAAATATTTCTTGGCTAGGGTGTGACATTCAACTTGAAGATGTTATATGTCATCGACTTGAGGTTTATAACGCGACAAAAGATCTCTGCCTTTTGGTAACGTCAAAATGTAACAATGGTTTCCAGTTGACGTCAAAATGTAACAATGGTTTCCAGTTGACGTCAAAATGTAACAATGGTTTCCAGTTGGTTTGAACTGGTCTAAACCTTCTGTATGAGATCAAGCAACCAATCGTACCTGTCTGGCGCTACCTGACTGCTTGTGGTATTGTAGCGACATGTACACAAGTTAACACGACAACTCTAGTGACATGTACACAATTTAACACAACTCTGGTGACATGTACACAAGTTAACACGACAACTCTAGTGACATGTACACAAGTTAACACAACTCTAGTGACATGTACACAAGTTAACACGACAACTCTAGTGACATGTACACAAGTCAACAGGACAACTCAAGTGACATGTACACAAGTCAACAGGACAACTCAAGTGACATGTACACAAGTCAACAGGACAACTCAAGTGACATGTACACAAGTTAACAGGACAACTCTACCACATCTGGAGATAACTTGCAATGAGGTGTAACAGGCTTCCTTCCCCAGATAAAACCTGTGTACCTGGATGTGTGATGCTGTTGGTGGCAGATTTATCTGCCCATTGCTAATTTAAACTAGTTGGATTAATCTCCCTTGATTCTTTAATGGCTGTTGTGTTATACCTCCCTTACACATGCGCAGATGTGTGTATTTTCCATCTTAACCGCTTTGATGTGTACATCTATTTTACCGTCCCCACCCCCCTACCCCTAGTCCATTTATCGGATGTCTACATTCTAAAAACATTTAACTCTTTAAAAAACAATTTGAGATAGCTTTAAACGTAATGAGAAAAAAAAGTAATTCGCCTTCATTAGCTTTACTGGCAAGTCTATGCACTCTGTATAGATAACTGCTGCTGCATAGTTTAGTTAACTACGTTGCTTGCTTGATAGATTATTTGTTAATGTCTTTTGTACACAACTGGATGTTTCTTGAAAGTTTACCAAGGTCAAGGCTGGGCTTTCTAAAAGGTGTTTATCACCTACTTTATTTTCATGTGAAAGGACCATGGTTGTATACATAAGTAGGTCAGGGTGAGCCAAGGTCAGGGTCGGGCAAGTGATGACCTCAACTTCCGCTTCCTTCGTTACGCTCTTGCCTGTTGGTCTCGCCCTCAACCCCTGGCTTCCGGTGCTGACTGTCTTAAAGAGTTGTCTAGAGAAGCGGAAATGACGTGTATAGGTTGGTAGTACAGAGGTGTCACGTGGTCGTCACATGAACCTGTGACAGCAAAGGAGATGGTTCGAGAGTAGACGAGATTGTGCGAGAGTTGACGAGATTGTGCGAGAGTAGACGAGATTGTGCGAGAGTAGACGAGATTGTGCGAGAGTAGACGAGATTGTGCGAGAGTAGACGAGATTGTGCGAGAGTAGACGAGATTGTGCGAGAGTTGACGAGATTGTGCGAGAGTTGACGAGATTGTGCGAGAGTAGACGAGATTGTGCGAGAGTAGACGAGATTGTGCGAGAGTAGACGAGATTGTGCGAGAGTTGACGAGATTGTGCGAGAGTAGACGAGATTGTGCGAGAGTTGACGAGATTGTGCGAGAGTAGACGAGATTGTGCGAGAGTTGACGAGATTGTGCGAGAGTAGACGAGATTGTGCGAGAGTTGACGAGATTTTGTGCCACGTTTTTTAGCACGGTATAGCTGCTAGCGGTTGTCCAATCTCAAATTATGTGCACAACTTTGAAAATTGTAAATTTAAAAAAAAAAGGGTGAGCTAATTGCTGTCTGCTTTAAAAATGGTGCAAGGATAAAAACGGCAGGTGCCCTCGTACACAGTTGCTGCAGGAGCCTGCAGGCAGCAGGTTCCTGCCGCAGGTGTTTGACAGGCAGCAGGTTTCCACCACAGATATTTGACAGGCAGCAGGTTCCTGCCGCAGGTGTTTGACAGGCAGCAGGTTTCCACCACAGATATTTGACAGGCAGATTTTTTATTGACCGGAAACTATTTTCTTGAATTTTCTTTCTTTAAGGGGCTCAATGATAGCAAAAGATTTAAAATATCCCGGGTATAGCGCCAGTTTATGTTGTACAATGTCAAGTTTGTGGGTACTATGTCAAGTTTGTTGCTACAATGTCAAGTTTGTCAAGTTTGTTGGTGCTATGTCAAGTTTGTTGCTACAATGTCAAGTTTGTCAAGTTTGTTGGTACTATGTCAAGTTTGTTGCTACAATGTCAAGTCTGTCATGTTTGTTGGTACAATGTCAAGTTTGTTTGTACACAAAAGCAATTACAGCGTCACATCTCAGCCCTACATTGGCCATTCTTACAGTGGCCATCGTTAGTGTCCATCGTTACAGTGGCCATCGTTACAGTGGCCATCATTACATTAGTCACCGTTACAGTGGCCATCGTTAAAGAGGCCATCGTTACAGTGGCCATCGTTACAGTGGTCATCGTTACATTGACCATCGGTAAAGTGGCCATCGTTACAGTGGCCATCGTTACAGTGACCATCGTTACAGTGGCCATCGTTACAGTGGCCATCGTTACAGTGGCCATCGTTACAGTGGCCATCGTTACAGTGGCCATCGTTACAGTGGCCATCATTACAGAGGCCATCGTTACAGTGGCCATCGTTACATTCTCCCACTGACTTTCGCTTTCTAAACAAGTCCCCTCGGTCGTGTTTTTAAACAACCTCGGCAACCGTCTCTCGTGAGATCTGGTGGATCTCGTGAGATCTGGTGGATCTCGTGAGATCTGGTGGTTCTCGTGAGATCTCGAATCTCGTGAGATCTCGGGCTGTCCTACAAGAACTAACGCTTACTTCTGCTTCACTTAAGAGACCGCTGCAGCGTGTAAGGGCACGCATTGTGACGTCACTAGTATGTCCAAAAATGGGGCCAGTTGTGCGGTCTAAACAAACACATTCAGCATTCTCTTACAACTTATCAACCTGATCAACAAACACATTCAACATTCTCTTACAACTTATCAACCTGATCAACAAACACATTCAACATTCTCTTACAACTTATCAACCTGATCAACAAACACATTCAACATTCTCTTACAACTTATCAACCTGATCAACAAACACATTCAACATTCTTTTACAACTTATCAACCTGATCAACAATCACATTCAACATTCTCTTACAACTTATCAACCTGATCAACAAACATTCAACATTCTCTTACAACTTATCAACCTGATCAACAAACACATTCAACATTCTCTTACAACTTATCAACCTAATCAACAAACACATTCAACATTCTCTTACAACTTACCAACCTGACCAACAATCACATCAGGCATCTCCAGTCCCCTGCCCACCAGTATGACCACTTGATGAATACAACTCTTCTTGTTTTACAGGGCCAACATAAACCTGTCACATGATGAATACAACTCTTCTTGTTTTACAGGGCCAACATAAACCTGTCACATGATGAATACAACTCTTCTTGTTTTACAGGGCCAACATAAACCTGTCACATGATGAATACAACTCTTCTTGTTTCACAGGGCCAACATGACGCAACCTGTCACATGATGAATACAACTCTTCTTGTTTTACAGGGCCAACATAAACCTGTCACATGATGAATACAACTCTTCTTGTTTCACAGGGCCAACATGACGCAACCTGTCACATGATGAATACAACTCTTCTTGTTTCACAGGGCCAACATGACGCAACCTGTCACATGATGAATACAACTCTTCTTGTTTCACAGGGCCAACATGACGCAACCTGTCACATGATGAATACAACTCTTCTTGTTTCACAGGGCCAACATGACGCAACCTGTCACATGATGAATACAACTCTTCTTGTTTCACAGGGCCAACATGACGCAACCTGTCACATGATGAATACAACTCTTCTTGTTTCACAGGGCCAACATGACGCAACCTGTCACATGACCTGACTTGACTCTCCACACAAGAGAGGTAAGGAAAACTGACGTCATAGTTCTAAGGCTGGTCCTCTCGTCCCCTGTTCGGTTAGGTCATCGAATTCGTGTGCCACCGTGTCCAATTTGTAGAGTGCTTTTTAAAATAAATGTAGACGCCATTGTGCTCGCAGAGCAGGTTAGGGCGCTCCAAGTCACCCGACTGCAGGGCGCCGGTGGACTCGCATTATTTGATTTCCTACACCTTGGGGCGTCTGGACAGTAGTGTGGACAGACCTGCCTCCAACAACTAGGGTCCCAGAAATATAGCCCCGGCATGGTTTACATTTAAATAACTCAATTCTTTTTTTTTAAAAAAAAGGTCGCGCATCTAAAAAATACACAATTATATTGTTAGCGCATTGATGAAAACTGATGCGTCAGCCTTTCACCTCAGGTCGCATAATATCTAAGATTACATGAGACTAAGGTCTTCCATTTTTTGCCAGTTTCTTAAGATTACATGGGACTAAGGTCTTCCATTTTTTACCAGGTGCTTAATGGCCAACACCAGAGACATTACAGATAACAGCACGAGCTTTATGGCCAACAGCACCGACCTGATGGCCAACAGCACCGACCTGATGGCCAACAGCACGGAGCTTATGGCCAACAAGATGGCCAACTATGTCTTTGAACGCTACACCCCCACAGGCCTGTTGGAGGTGTTCACCCCTGCTGGCCAGATGGTCGAGAAGTGCCTCATGCCACTCTTCTACTTCATCGGATACATCGGCAACCCACTGTCTGCTTATATCTGGCTCAGCCAGCGCATGCGCAGAAACAACTCCTCCGCCATCTACCTGGGCGCCCTGTCCATCTCGGACTTGATGTTCCTGATGCTCCACCTGCTCTACTACCTCCACACTGTGTGGGGCTACGGGATATACAACGGTCCGGTCACGTGTGAGCTCTTTATGGTCCTCTTTTACGCACCCCAGTACCTGTCCTCCCTGTTGGTGCTCGGCTTCACCGCGGAGCGCTACATCGCCGTCTGCCATCCCTTCATGAAGGAAAAGTGGTGCACCGTCTGGCGAGCTGTCGTGATCGTCCTGTGCCTAGCGGTCTTCAGCTTGTGCGTGGCATCCGTTCAAGGCTACATCTGGACGTACAACCTGAATACAAGCGCGTGCTACTTGCGGGAGGAGGCGCACGACGGCAACTTCTGGAGCGTGTGGGGCTGGTGCACGGAGATCCCGTTCTTCGTGCTCCTCCCGCTGCTGGTGCTGCTCCTGAACATGCTGGTGCTGAGGGAGATCTACAAGATCTCTCGCAACGATCTGGTCAATCGCCAGCAGACTCGCGGGGGCGGGGGCAGCACGGCCTCAACGGTCACGCTCCTGGCCGTCTCATTCTTCTTCATCGTCACCCAGCTCAGCGCCACCGTGGCCAACAACCTGCAGCCCCTGTTTCCAACAGGCGACCACAACATGACGGACGACCAGATCCGTCAAGACTCCACCTGGATGAGCTTGTTCCGCTACTTGGAAGTGAAGAGGGTGGTGGATGCGTTGTGTCTGTCCCACTACGCCTGCTACTTCCTCATTTACTGCTGCACGGGCAAGCACTTCCGGAAAGAGATTTATTTTTTACTGACGCTCCACGGGAGGCTGGCCAACATGGTGTCGAGGAGGAGAGGCAGGGAGCAGTACTCCATGGTGTCCACCAACGGCGGTCAGTTGTCCGAGACATTCACCACCAACTTCTCTACCACAATGTGAGCTCTGCTGGCCTCAATGACATGTATCATTGTCATCAGGAAGACACTACAAATGTCAATACGCACACGTGTCACCGTGGATGTCATCAGGATGACACCACAAATGTTAATACGCACACGTGTCACCGTGGATGTCATCAGGATGACACCACAAATGTCAATACGCACACGTGTCACCGTGGATGTCATCAGGATGACACCACAAATGTCAATACGCACACGTGTCACCGTGGATGTCATCAGCATGACACCACAAATGTCAATACGCACACGTGTCACTGTGGATGTCAGCCGGATGACACCACAAATGTCAATACGCACACGTGTCACTGGGGATGTCATCAGCATGACACCACAAATGTCAATACGCACACGTGTCACTGGGGATGTCATCAGCATGACACCACAAATGTCAATACGCACACGTGTCATCGTGGATGTCATCAGGATGACACCACAAATGTCAATACGCACACGTGTCACTGGGGATGTCATCAGCATGACACCACAAATGTCAATACGCACACGTGTCACTGGGGATGTCATCAGCATGACACCACAAATGTCAATACGCACACGTGTCATCGTGGATGTCATCAGGATGACACCACAAATGTCAATACGCACACGTGTCACCGTGGATGTCATCAGGATGACATGGCTGACACTGACAGTCCCAGGGACCGTTATATTGGACCCGTATGTTGTCAGGCTGTTGATGTGACTAGTGTGACGTCTAATCTGTGATAGCCGAACTCTGGGTATCTACCACATTTGTCTGGCAGTTCTAGCAGTCTGATTCTCCTCGTTTGTCAGGGGGTTCCAGCCCAACTTGAGGCGGATGGTGTGTTGGGTCCAGCTGTATGCTGCAGGCCACCATATTTAAACATATGTGGGGGTCAAACGATGCATTAAAACAAACTGAGAATAGCCGACCAAGTTAGAAATACTTTGTAAATACATACGCATTTTTATTATTTATTAAAATGTCATCATAAGTGTTTTCAAAAAAATTATTATTAGTGATTTTACAATAATTATCATGAGTGATTTTAAAATATTAATCATGAGTGATTTTAAAATATTAATCATGAGTGATTTGAAAATATTAATCATGAGTGATTTGAACCGGTGAGACATACAAACTCCGCGATAGCCCTAACAGCTTAGACAAGAAGCTTGTGTGTCGTTAGAGTGGGATACTCGACTGCGCATGCGCTCTCTCACCAATCGTGTCTTGCCTCATTGCGCATGGGTAAACAAGGGCTGGGAGTGATTCGAATTCCAGCGACGAGACGCTGGTTTCCTGTGGACGCCAGTATCTTGTGATGGATCGATTTTATCAGTTTCTCATCACGAAGCTAGACCTAACCACCCCACTTCCACGAAGCTAGACCTAACCACCCCACTTCCACGAGGCTATTCCCAACCACCCCACTTTCACGAAGCTAGTCCTAACCACCCCACTCTCACGAAGCTAGTCCTAACCACCCCACTCTCACGAAGCTAGTCCTAACCACCCCACTTTCACGAAGCTAGTCCTAACCACCCCACTCTCACGAAGCTAGTCCTAACCACCCCACTCTCACGAAGCTAGTCCTAACCACCCCACTCTCACGAAGCTAGTCCTAACCACCCCACTTTCACGAAGCTAGTCCTAACCACCCCACTCTCACGAAGCTAGTCCTAACCACCCCACTCTCACGAAGCTAGTCCTAACCACCCCACTCTCACGAAGCTAGTCCTAACCACCCCACTCTCACGAAGCTAGTCCTAACCACCCCACTCTCACGAAGCTAGTCCTAACCACCCCACTTCCACGAAGCTAGACCTAACCACCCCTTTCTCACGAAGCTAGACTTAACCACCCCACTTCCACGAAGCTAGACCTAACCACCCCTTTCTCACGAAGCTAGACTTAACCACCCCACTTCCACGAAGCTAGACCTAACCACCCCACTCTCACGAAGCTAGTCCTAACCACCCCACTTCCACGAAGCTAGACCTAACCACCCCTTTCTCACGAAGCTAGACTTAACCACCCCACTTCCACGAAGCTAGACCTAACCACCCCTTTCTCACGAAGCTAGACTTAACCACCCCACTTCCACGAGGCTAGACCTAACCACCCACTTCCACGAGGCTAGTCCTAACCACCCCTTTCTCACGAAGCTAGTCCTAACCACCCCACTCTCACGAAGCTAGTCCTAACCACCCCACTTCCACGAAGTTAGTCCTAACCACCCCACTTCCACGAAGCTAGTCCTAACCACCCCACTTCCACGAGGCTAGTCCTAACCACCCCACTTCCACGAAGCTAGTCCTAACCACCCCACTCTCACGAAGCTAGTCCTAACCACCCCACTCACGAAGCTAGTCCTAACCACCCCACTTTCACGAAGCTAGTCCTAACCACCCCACTTACACGAAGCTAGTCCTAACCACCCCACTTTCACGAAGCTAGTCCTAACCACCCCACTCTCACGAAGCTAGTCCTAACCACCCCACTTCCACGAAGCTAGTCCTAACCACCCCACTCTCACGAAGCTAGTCCTAACCACCCCACTTCCACGAAGCTTCCGGTGCTATACATGACCTATCACACAGATGCTATACATGACCTATCAGACCGGTGCTATACATGACCTAGATCACACCGGTGCTATACATGACCTATCACACCGGTGCTATACATGACCTATCACACCGGTGCTATACATGACCTATCACACCGCTGCTATACATGACCTATCAGACCGGTGCTATACATGACCTAGATCACACCGGTGCTATACATGACCTATCACACCGGTGCTATACATGACCTATCACACCGGTGCTATACATGACCTATCACACCGGTGCTATAAATGACCTATCACACCGGTGCTATACATGACCTATCAGACCGGTGCTATACATGACCTAGATCCCACCGGTGCTATACATGACCTATCACACCGGTGCTATACATGACCTATCACACCGGTGCTATACATGACCTATCACACCGGTGCTATACATGACCTATCACACCGGTGCTATACATGACCTATCACACCGGTGCTATACATGACCTATCACACCGCTGCTATACATGACCTATCACACCGGTGCTATACATGACCTAGATCACACCGGTGCTATACATGACCTATCACACCGGTGCTATACATGACCTATCACACCGGTGCTATACATGACTTACGCCGATGCTATACATGACCTATCACACCGGTGCTATACATGACCTATCACACCGGTGCTATACATGACCTATCACACCGGTGCTATACATGACTTACGCCGATGCTATACATGACCTATCACACCGGTGCTATACATGACCTATCACACCGGTGCTATACATGACCTATCACACCGATGCTATACATGACTTACGCCGATGCTATACATGACTTAACTGCAATCGGTGCTACTTTGATGTTAACTTTGTTTATAATTAATGCATTTATTAAAATTATTGACTTCTTTAATCGGTTTTTTCTTGGTCTCTTTAGTAAAAGGGCATTGTTATGTCAGGCATGTAGAAAAGGGCATTGTTTTGTCTGCAGGTAGAAAAGTGCATTGTTGTGTCTGCAGGTAGAAAAGGGCATTGTTGTGTCTGCAGGTAGAAAAGGGCATTGTTGTGTCTGCAGGTAGAAAAGGGCATTGTTGTGTCTGCAGGTAGAAAAGGGCATTGTTGTGTCTGCAGGTAGAAAAGGGCATTGTTGTGTCTGCAGGTAGAAAAAGGCATTGTTGTGTCAGGCATGTAGAAAAGGGCATTGTTGTGTCTGCATGTAGAAAAGGGCATTTGTTTGCTTTGGCTGGAGACAAAATAATTTAGCATTTCTTAAACAAAAGATAGAAAAAATAATTTAGCACTTCTTGAACAACAAATAATAAAACTAATGTAGCATTTCATAAACAAAAGATAATAAAACGAAAGTAGCGCTTCACGAACAAAAGATAGAAAAATAATTTAGCATTTCATGACAAAAGAAAAAATAAGCCCTCTAGCGGCCAGGGGAAATAAGCGAGGTTGTGACCTGAATGGTAGGGGAAAGAACTCATTATCCCGACTTCCTTTGAGCTCACGTTTCAAATTTCCAGCTTAGCATCATGTTTATTTTTTCTTCAGCAACTCGAGACTTTTAATTGGCAGGATACGGGACCGCAGACCCCACTCTGTGTGGTCGTGGTGGGCCGTGCGTCATCTCGACTCATCCGTGGTGGGCCGTGCGTCATCTCGACTCATCCGTGGTGGGCAGTGCTGTCCTGTGTCACCGTGACGTCAAACAGCAGTCAGACATAGCCTCACATAGGGTCTTGCTGTGTCACGCTATCACGTCATGCGCCGTCACGGGGGCCGTGAATCAGAAGTATATGTTTACTATATAAATTCCATCTCGATTGGGGGGGGGGGGGGGGGGAGTTTCTTCGGGTGGACTTTCTCCCCCCCCCCCCACCCCGAAAAGATGCCTGGAAGCAGTGGCGTAGGCAAGGGGGGGGGGTTAGGGGGGTTATAACCCCTCCCATCAGTGGCGTAGCGAGGTCGGGTGTCACCCGGTGCGGCACTTAATGGTGTCACCCCCCCCCCCCCCAGAGGCGTAGCGACCCTTCCCGGGGACAAACTTTCAAATTTTCGATTTGCACCCCCCCCCCCCCTCAAGTTTTTCTCTATATATTTTGCAATTTTTTGCCTTGGTGTCACCCCCCCCCCCCTAAATGGTGTCACCCGGTGCGGTCCGCACCCCCCGCCCCACCCCCCTCGCTACGCCCCTGCCTCCCATGGACTCACACCTCTATATACTTTATATATATATATATATATATATATATATATATATATATATATATATATATATATATATATATATATATATATATATATATATATATATATATATATATATATATATAATTTTATAGATATGGAAAAATATTTTAACCCCTCCCATGACCAATTCCTGGCTACGCCACTGCCTGGAAGAAACTCTGTTTATACTGTTTTTGTTTTAGCATTTCAAACGTAGGTAAGGTAGACTATTACTATTAGTATCTAGAATCTAGATTTTCTAGATCTAGATTCTAGAAACTAGATCTAGATCTTAATCTTATTTGTCAAACGTCTTTTAAAAACTGAAGACGTTACAGATCTTAATCTACGTTCCATGACCTTTGCAAAACGACCACAGAATATTAGTCGTTAAAATTAAAACGTAAGGAATTCTATTCTAAATTAAGAGATAATGATGATGATAAAATATTGATAACTTGTTTTTGGAATAATCGAGTTCAATAACAACAGTCACTTCCGCCTTGTGATTTTTAAGTTTCTGTTACTTCGTTTATGAAGGGTGTCCTACATTTGCTACACAAATCTAGAGATGTTGATAACCTCATTATTATGTTTGTAACACAGCTGTTAGTTTTGTGATTGATCTAGAATGTGTTACTAGTAGATATCTAGATCTAGATGTTATTTTGTCTTGAGCTTGAGTTAGTATCTGGTTAGTAAAGTAGTGAAGCTAGATCTGTGGTTGTTTAAAATTTCAGCCCAACATTTTAGTATTTTTTTTTAGTTTACATTTTAAAACAGTATTTAGTAGATCTATGTAATATGTATTACTTAGTAATTAATTAATGATCTAGTTTCTCCCCCACAAATATCTGCACCATTTATCCAATGTCTCCCCTCCCCCCCCCCCCCCACACACACAAATCTCTATCCAATGTCTCCCCCACACAAATCTCTGCCCCATCTATCTAGTGTCTTCCCCGCACAAATCTCTATACAGTGTCTCACACATTTTATTCTAACCATGTAATAACTTACAGCACATAGGCCTATAACCAAGCAGGTAGGCTATAGGTTATTTTAACCACATAGCCAGTGTCATAGTTAGAGGATGTTGCATTAGCAAATGTAGGGCACAATACTGCTTTGGTAATCAACTTTACATTTGACTGTCACATTTATTTTGAAAATATGCGCGGCTTAATAAAAAATTGCACACAAATTGTATTTTAAACTTATACAGCTTGTGAAAAAAAAAGCAACAGAATTGTGTATTGTACATCATTTATATAAGTAAATCAACTTGAGTAGTTCTAAGGTGTAGTTAGATAGTTGTGTTGTTCATAAAAATCTGGTATGGGGAAAGTACTCAAATTCTACAGTTCTTTGGAAAAAAAAAATAGCAAATACACATTAAAACATAAACACTAAATACTTTTTAAAATATTTAAGAAGTAGTACAAATCAAATAAAGAAATACAAATAATAAATGTATGTAAATATTTGCTTAGAAATAGAATCATATCTTATCAAGTCAAGCATATTTGTACAGAAGATTAAAGCAATTATGTAGATGTGTATAATTTGTACATTGAATAAAAAATGTGCTTAAAAATTCATTAAAAGAAAAAGTTAAAAAATAAAATATCCAGCTTATGTCAGTGTCCAGCTTTTGTCAATTTCCAGCTTTTGTCAATGTCCAGCTTTTGTCAATGTCCAGCTTTTGTCAATTTCCAGTTTTTGTCAATGTCCAGCTTTTGTCAATTTCCAGCTTTTGTCAATTTCCAGTTTTTGTCAATGTCCAGCTTTTGTCAATGTCCAGCTTTTGTCAATGTCCAGCTTTTGTCAATGTCCAGCTTTTGTCAATTTCCAGCTTTTGTCAATGTCCAGTTTTTGTCAATGTCCAGCTTTTGTCAATGTCCAGCTTTTGTCAATTTCCAGTTTTTGTCAATGTCCAGCTTTTGTCAATGTCCAGCTTTTGTCAATGTCCAGCTTTTGTCAATGTCCAGCTTTTGTCAATGTCCAGCTTTTGTCAATGTCCAGCTTTTGTCAATCTCCAGCTTTTGTCAATGTCCAGCTTTTGTCCATGATTTTTGTCTGACTGGCTTCTCCAGGTTGGCGTACAGCTGGGCTTCCAGAACTTTCTTGTCAAAAGTGTCTGACTCATACTTGTCCTTGATGTCGTCCCTCAGGGTCTGGCTCAACTGGGCCAGGGCCCGGGTCTGTGGGGCGAACAAAAATATGGCCGTCAAACAATCAACAGCTGACTAATGGCAGTCAAACATAAACATAAACCAATCAACAGCTGACTAATGGCAGTCAACCAATCAACAGCTGACTAATGGCAGTCAAACAATCAACAGCTGACTTATGGCAGTCAAACAAACCAATCAACAGCTGACTAATGGCAGTCAAACAATCAACAGCTGACTAATGGCAGTCAAACAATCAACAGCTGACTTATGGCAGTCAACCAATCAACAGCTGACTAATGGCAGTCAAACATAAACAATCAACAGCTGACTTATGGCAGTCATACAAACCAATCAACAGCTGACTAATGGCAGTCAAACATAAACAATCAACAGCTGACTAATGGCAGTCAAACAAACCAATCAACAGCTGACTAATGGCAGTCAAACATAAACAATCAACAGCTGACTAATGGCAGTCAAACATAAACAATCAACAGATGACTAATGGCAGTCAAACCAATCAACAGCTGACTAATGGCAGTCAAACCAATCAACAGCTGACTAATGGCAGTCAAACATAAACAATCAACAGCTGACTAATGGCAGTCAAACCAATCAACAGCTGACTAATGGCAGTCAACCAATCAACAGCTGACTTATGGCAGTCAAACATAAACAATCAACAGATGACTAATGGCAGTCAAACAAAAACAATCAACAGATGACTAATGGCAGTCAAACCAATCAACAGCTGACTAATGGCAGTCAAACATAAACCAATCAACAGATGACTTATGGCAGTCAAACCAATCAACAGCTGACTAATGGCAGTCAAACCAATCAACAGCTGACTAATGGCAGTCAAACAAACCAATCAACAGCTGACTAATGGCAGTCAAACAAACCAATCAACAGCTGACTAATGGCAGTCAAACATAAACCAATCAACAGCTGACTAATGGCAGTCAAACATAAACCAATCAACAGCTGACTAATGGCAGTCAAACAAAAACAATCAACAGCTGACTAATGGCAGTCATACATAAACCAATCAACAGCTGACTTATGGCAGTCAAAAATAAACAATCAACAGCTGACTTATGGCAGTCAAACATAAACAATCAACAGATGACTAATGGCAGTCAAACCAATCAACAGCTGACTAATGGCAGTCAAACATAAACAATCAACAGATGACTAATGGCAGTCAAACCAATCAACAGCTGACTAATGGCAGTCAAACATAAACAATCAACAGCTGACTTATGGCAGTCAACCAATCAACAGCTGACTTATGGCAGTCAAACATAAACAATCAACAGCTGACTTATGGCAGTCAACCAATCAACAGCTGACTTATGGCAGTCAACCAATCAACAGCTGACTTATGGCAGTCAAACAAACCAATCAACAGATGACTAATGGCAGTCAAACAAACCAATCAACAGCTGACTTATGGCAGTCAAACAAACCAATCAACAGCTGACTAATGGCAGTCAAACATAAACCAATCAACAGCTGACTAATGGCAGTCAAACCAATCAACAGCTGACTTATGGCAGTCAAACATAAACAATCAACAGATGACTAATGGCAGTCAAACATAAACAATCAACAGATGACTAATGGCAGTCAAACAAACCAATCAACAGATGACTAATGGCAGTCAAACATAAACAATCAACAGCTGACTAATGGTAGTCAAACAAACCAATCAACAGCTGACTAATGGCAGTCAAACATAAACAATCAACAGCTGACTAATGGTAGTCAAACAAACCAATCAACAGATGACAAATGGCATTCAAACATAAACCAATCAACAGCTGACTAATGGCAGTCAAACAAATGTATACAACTTGAAATATTTGCTCAACTTTTATCCATCCCAACTTTTGTCTAACACAAAATGTTAGAATGATGAATACAACTTGAAATATTTGCTCAACTTTTATCCATCCCAACTTTTGTCTAACACAAAATGTTAGAATGATGAATACAACTTGAAATATTTGCTCAACTTTTATCCATCCCAACTTTTGTCTAACACAAAATGTTAGAATGATGAATACAACTTGAAATATTTGCTCAACTTTTATCCATCCCAACTTTTGTCTAACACAAAATGTTAGAATGCTGAATACAACTTGAAATATTTGCTCAACTTTTATCCATCCCAACTTTTGTCTAACACAAAATGTTAGAATGATGAATACAACTTGAAATATTTGCTCAACTTTTCTCCATCCCAACTTTTGTCTAACACAAAATGTTAGAATGATGAATACAACTTGAAATATTTGCTCAACTTTTATCCATCCCAACTTTTGTCTAACACAAAATGTTAGAATGATGAATACAACTTGAAATATTTGCTCAACTTTTATCCATCCCAACTTTTGTCTAACACAAAATGTTAGAATGATGAATACAACTTGAAATATTTGCTCAACTTTTATCCATCCCAACTTTTGTCTAACACAAAATGTTAGAATGATGAATACAACTTGAAATATTTGCTCAACTTTTATCCATCCCAACTTTTGTCTAACACAAAATGTTAGAATGATGAATACAACTTGAAATATTTGCTCAACTTTTATCCATCCCAACTTTTGTCTAACACAAAATGTTAGAATGCTGAATACAACTTGAAATATTTGCTCAACTTTTATCCATCCCAACTTTTGTCTAACACAAAATGTTAGAATGATGAATACAACTTGAAATATTTGCTCAACTTTTCTCCATCCCAACTTTTGTCTAACACAAAATGTTAGAATGATGAATACAACTTGAAATATTTGCTCAACTTTTATCCATCCCAACTTTTGTCTAACACAAAATGTTAGAATGATGAATACAACTTGAAATATTTGCTCAACTTTTCTCCATCCCAACTTTTGTCTAACACAAAATGTTGTCACTTACCTCAGCCACTGTCCTCTCTTTTTCTTCCAGAAGTTCCTCAATTTTTCTGTCTTTCTGTGACAGCGAGATCTCAAGCAGCTTGCGTTGTCTGTCTTTTTCTTTCTGGATCCTGTGGCAGAGGACAATATTTTTGATGATACAGCAGGCTAATGTCAGGTCACTGTCAGGCTATGTCAGGTCACTGTCAGGCTATGTCAGGTCACTGTCAGGCTAGTGTCATCTCACTGTCAGGCTAGTGTCATCTCACTGTCAGGCTAGTGTCATCTCACTGTCAGGTCACTGTCACGCTAGTGTCAGGTCACTGTCAGGCTAGTGTCATCTCACTGTCAGGCTAGTGTCATCTCACTGTCAGGCTAGTGTCATCTCACTGTCAGGTCACTGTCACGCTAGTGTCAGGTCACTGTCAGGCTAGTGTCATCTCACTGTCAGGCTAATGCCAGGTCACAGTCAGGCTAGTGTCAGGTCACTGTCAGGCTATGTCAGGTCACTGTCAGGTCACTGTCAGGCTAGTGTCATCTCAATGTCAGGCTAATGTCATCTCAATGTCTGGCTAATGTCATCTCACTGTCAGGTCACTGTCAGGTTAATGTCATCTCACTGTCAGACTAATGTAATCTCAATGTCAGGCTAATGTCATCTCACTGTCAGACTAATGTCATCTCAATGTCAGGCTAATGTCATCTCACTGTCAGGCTAATGTCATCTCACTGTCAGGCTAGTGTCAGGTCACTGTCAGGCTAGTGTCATCGCACTGTCAGGCTAGTGTCGTCTCACTGTCAGGTAACTGTCAGGCTAATGTCATCTCACTGTAAGGCTAATGTCAGCTCACTGTCAGGCTAATGTCATCTCACTGTCAGGTCACTGTCAGGTTAATGTCATCTCACTGTCAGGCTAATGTCATCTCAATGTCAGGCTAATGTCATCTCACTGTCAGGCTAATGTAATCTCAATGTCAGGCTAATGTTATCTCACTGTCAGGTCACTGTCAGGCTAATGTCAGGTCACTGTCCGGCTAGTGTCAGGTCACTGTCAGGCTAGTGTCAGGTCACTGTCAGGCTAATGTCAGGTCACTGTCAGGCTAGTGTCAGGTCAATGTCATGCTAGTGTCAGGTCACTGTCAGGCTAATGTCAGGTCACTGTCAGGCTAATGTCATCTCACTGGCAGGTCACTGTCAGGCTAATGTCATCTCACTGTCAGGCTAATGTCATCTCACTGGCAGGTCACTGTCAGGCTAATGTCATCTCACTGGCAGGCTTATGTCATCTCAATGTCAGGCTAATGTCATCTCAATGTCAGGCTAATGTCATCTCACTGTCAGGCTAATGTCATCTCAATGTCAGGCTAATGTCATCTCACTGTCAGGCTAATGTCATCTCACTGTCATGCTAATGTCATCTCACTGTCATGCTAATGTCATGTCACTGGCAGGCTAATGTCATCGCAATGTCAGGCTAATGTCATCTCACTGTCAGGCTAGTGCCAGCTCACTGTCTGGCTAATGGCAGGTCACTGTCAGGCTAGTGTCATCTCACTGGCAGGTCACTGGCAGGCTAGTGTCATTTCACTGTCTGGCTAATGGCAGGTCACTGTCAGTTAACTGTCAGGATAGTGTCAGCTCACTGTCAGGCTAATGTCAGGTCACTGCCACCCGCCCTACTCAGGCTGACCAGACAGGCTGAGCAGACAGGCTGTCCAGACAGGCTGTCCAGACAGGCTGACCAGACAGGCTGTCCAGACAGGCTGTCCAGACAGGCTGACCAGACAGGCTGTCCAGACAGGCTGACCAGACAGGCTGTCCAGACAGGCTGTCCAGACAGGCTGACCAGACAGGCTGTCCAGACAGGCTGACCAGACAGGCTGTCCAGACTGGCTGTCCAGACAGGCTGTGACCCACTTGCTCATGTTCCTCCTGTGCTCCTGTTGTTTCTGTGTGCGTTGGACCCTGGCTTGATGAGACTTGTGCTCAATGCTGCGCTGGGCTGTTGCCTGGGCGCGCAGCTCCACCTGAACACACACATGGGACAGTCATTTGTCATCTATACAAATTGTTTTGTTTCATACCAGTTATTGGCACACACATGGGACAGTCATTTGTCATGTATACAAATTGTTTTGTTTCATACCACTTATAGGCACACACATGGGACAGTCATTTGTCATGTATACAAATTGTTTTGTTTCATACCAGTTATAGGCACACACATGGGACAGTCATTTGTCATCTATACAAATTGTTTTGTTTCATACCAGTTATAGGCACACACATGGGACAGTCATTTGTCATGTATACAAATTGTTTTGTTTCATACCACTTATAGGCACACACATGGGACAGTCATTTGTCATGTATACAAATTGTTTTGTTTCATACCACTTATAGGCACACACATGGGACAGTCATTTGTCATGTATACAAATTGTTTTGTTTCATACCAGTTATAGGCACACACATGGGACAGTCATTTGTCATGTATACAAATTGTTTTGTTTCATACCAGTTATAGGCACACACATGGGACAGTCATTTGTCATGTATACAAATTGTTTTGTTTCATACCAGTTATAGGCACACACATGGGACAGTCATTTGTCATCTATACAAATTGTTTTGTTTCATACCAGTTATAGGCACAAACATGGGACAGTCATTTGTCATGTATACAAATTGTTTTGTTTCATACCAGTTATAGGAACAATACAAGCTCTACCAAATGACTGGAGCATTGATCAGTGATACCTGGATCATGAGTACATCTACACCCTAACTATAAGCTGGTTAAGGTTTAATTAAAGTGGTTGTTCACTTGGATGACATGGGCATCAGACAGGCAGTGGACAGACAGACAGTGGACAGACAGAAAGACAGAAACCTGCTTCTTGTGCTCCAAGAGCTCCTGCAGGTACTCCTGAATGGCGGCATCTTTTTGTTTATTAGAGCTGCGAGCTTTCTGTAGTTTAACTTGTTCCTGATGGCTGGAAAGTTGGCAGTCATTATCACAATCATTCTCTCAATTATTCTCTAGGTCGGCATCTCATTCATCATCTTAGTTATTTTCCTCAATCATCTCAATCAGTATCATATCTCAATCATTATCTCAGTCATTTTCCTCAGTCATCCTCTCAATCATTATCTTAATCTGCTCATCTAATACCTCAAACAAAAATGTTCTACCAAAGCTGAAAAATTCAGTTACAACAATGACAACAACATCCACCACTTACTGCTATAACATCCACCAGTTACTGCTACAACAACATCCACCACTTACTGCTACAACAACATCCACCACTTACTGCTACAACACCATCCACCACTTACTGCTACAACAACATCCACCACTTACTGCTACAACAACAACATCCACCACTTACTGCTACAACAACATCCACCACTTACTGCTACAACAACATCCACCACTTACTGCTACAACACCATCCACCACTTACTGCTACAACAACATCCACCACTTACTGCTACAACAACAACATCCACCACTTACTGCTACAACAACATCCACCACTTACTGCTACAACAACAACATCCACCACTTACTGCTACAACACCATCCACCACTTACTGCTACAACAACATCCACCACTTACTGCTACAACAACAACATCCACCACTTACTGCTACAACAACATCCACCACTTACTGCTACAACAACATCCACCACTTACTGCTACAACAACATCCACCACTTACTGCTACAACAACATCCACCACTTACTGCTATAACAACAACATCCACCACTTACTGTTGCTCCTCTAGCTGCCTATTCCTCTTGTCAAGCACCTGGTATAACTTTGCTTCTGCTTGGCCCAGTCTGACTTCCATGGAAGATCGAATCAAATCTTCATTTTCTCTGTCATCCATCATAAAATATATTGTAGATGAGTACACAGAGCAGAAGATGGGATCAAAGAGATGTATCAGAGGGCATCAGAAACACAAATTAAATAAAAATAAACCAGCACAATTCTTAGGTATGAACTCAACTGGCTATACTGACCAGTCTCCTCCCCATATTTTCTGCATGGCATTTCTACAAACACCCAGTAACAAAAATTTTTCCACCATCATGGTTTTTTTATTGAACTTACTTCTCTTGATTTGTCAGGCTTTTCTTTCTTCGTTCAAATTCTTCTCTTGCTTTTCTGTTTTCCAAGAATTTTTTCTAAGATAAAATTCAAATTTAGATTTTAAAACCAAATATATAGAATATTAACATTTTACAAAAGAAAACTGAATTTTAAACATATGCATTATGTATAATAAAGGTACTAATGGAGATAATGAAGTAAAAAAATTGTGCTTTGGAAAAAAATTATTTCCATTAAATTTTTTTCACTACCCACCAATGATTCATGGTGGATCCGAACACCTTTCCTCTCAGAGGCTGAGTTCAGATCAGATGTTTGATCCTTTAAAAGTAGTTTGGCCAAGTATTTGTCAGAGTCAGAAATTCTTTGCAGATTCCTCTCCTATAGTGTGTTAAAGAATTCAGATAATTAAAACAATGTTACTTAAAGTTGTTTTCAATAGCACCAATAGAAGGAGAACTATACGCAACCCAGCAGCAACACCAGAATCTAGACATGAACCTCAATAAACTCCTTGTGTTCAAAAATCTTCAAATTATTTTTGCTAGTTGACCAAAAACAATACAGGGAAAAAGTGACTCAAAAATCTTTCTCATACAAGCAAGACAAGCATGTGAAACAGAGGCTAGCAATATACTAGACAATAAACAATGTAGGCCTACTTGTAAACTCATAGACAGAACTAAACACTAAAAAGTTGATCACCAAACGTAACAAGTCTTACCTGCGAAGTCTTTTTTAAAGTTTCTTTCCTGATTCTGTCCTCAAGTTTCTGTTCCTGATAGTGATAGACATCAACAAAAAATTTGGTTTTCAAGTGACAAGTATATTCATCAAACACATATACACTAGACCATCAAACACTTCCATACTCCACCATCAAACACATCCATACTCCACCATCAAACACTTCCATACTCCACCATCAAACACATCCATACTCCACCATCAAACACTTCCATACTCCACCATCAAACACTTCCATACTCCACCATCAAACACATCCATACTCCACCATCAAACACATCCATAGTCTACCTGCAAGCGTAACTGCCTCATTAAAGAAGCATCTGAGCTATGTTGGTCAATGTCCACCTTCAATCTATTTTTGTTGTCATCTTCCAACTTCTCTGGTCCATCTGTCTGGGGAAGTTGAAAATTTTTATGGTAAAGTTGTACAAGATTAGGCCCCCTACAATGCTCTGTTTGAACAAAACTTTGACATCTAGTTTCTGCACACCTTGTAAAGGTAATTAAGTCTGTTTTCTTCATCTAAGAGTTGTCTTCTCTTATTCTCTGCCAGGAGTTTTAGAATCTCCTCCCTCCTTTTCTGTTCCTCCCACACTCTGTGAGCCTCTCTGCTGACTGACAAGTTTTTTCTTTCCTTCTCTCTGCGCTCTGTCATCAGCTTCAAGATCTTTTCATCCTAAACATAAAGGTCATGATCTTTTCATCCTAAACATAAAGGTCATGATCTTTACCACACATGCACACAAAAAAGTTATGATGGTTTGCTTTACCTTAACTTATTGAATTTTTTTTAACATACCTGCTTTCAGTTTACAAACCAATTTCTGAACAAGGGGAAGCTACTTGGTCTTTTTTTAACATGTTTTTTTTAATAATATTCTTCTTATCAAAACAATAATCAACTTAAAATCTAAAAACACCAATGCACTCAGAAAAATATAACAAATCTGGCACAGAAACATAAAAAAGGAAACTTTTTTTTAAAAAGTGTACATGTAACATTAAATAAAAATTAATGTGTGAAAAATGTATTGGAAATGAACCAAACAAGATTTTAAAATTTGGCTCCATTTGCCAGAAATGCTTTTGTCAATAGAAAACTGTCTTCAGCTGTCTTAAATGAATCCTGATGAGGTTGTATAACTTAATGAATCCTGATGAGGTTGTATAACTTAATGAATCCTGATGAGGTTGTATGACTTAATGAATCCTGATGAGGTTGTATGACGTAATGAATCCTGATGAGGTTGTATGACTTAATGTTGTTTCAGCAACTTACTCTAGCAGGCAGACGGACATGGCATGGAGCAGAGCCACTTCTGTACTCTACACGAGAGCCTACAACAGCAGAGGTGCTACGGCGCTGAGGTTTCCTTCCTTCTGCTGACACTGGCCGAGACCTGCTCAAGGATACAATAATGCCAACATTGTTATTGCATATTCAGGCTTATAATTCCACTTAAGTTGAAGGGTTATGCTTTTATATATAAATTCTAATATAGTCCAGCATTTTTAAATTTTAAGAATGAAAATCCTTTCATTCAACAAAATTTTCTAATACAACTTTACTAATTTACCTTCTGGCAGAATGATGCTTTTGGGGCAGCAAGTCTTTCTTTGATATCAGTTCTCTGTGAAGTTTTGGGCTTTCTCTCTCAAATGACCTAATTAAAAGAAAAAGATTAAATCAGATTTTTTTTTAAATGAACTCAGAATGTTTTAATGAAGTTTATGTTAATCTCAACCTTTTCCGTCCCTTGGTAGAATTCAACGCCAGATTAGATGAGTTATTCCTCCTTAGGGCATGACTAGGAAAACCTGTTAAAAAAATTCTAACTTTTAAAATAATATTATTTCTCATCTAGCACATACTTCTGTCAACTAAAATGTATTTGTTTTAATTTGTATATGTGTTATTGATTGTGTTGACATATAACCATCATTTTGCTGATTTTCAGCTGCTCTTCCGTACTGATATGTGTTGTATCATTGTAAGTCATTTAATAATTTGGACATGATGTAACATACTGACATACATAAACATTACACATTAACATAATATCACACAAAATAGCTAACATACCATTTTAAAGCAACCAAATAGACACAGTGACATCAACATACTAACATACCATGAGTTGGAAACATCTTAGCCTCCACCAACAATCTGGATTTCTTCTGGTTTTCTAGTATTAACCTACTTCTTTCTTCTCTACATAATTTCAACTTTTCTGTAAGAAAATAATTGAAAAGTTTCAATCACAACTTTGCATCACACACAGTATTAGTGAATGAGAGTGTGTGATGCACCTGTTTCATCTGTTTATGTTGCCAATGCCAAAGTTGTGTCTTTACTCTCCCCTAAATATGCCAGGTACTCATAAGGGTTGTTTGAATTCAAGACTTTATGTTTATTGCATTTAAAAATAAACGCTTATGGTAACTAGAAGATTTGAGCAACAGAGAACTAAATTTCTTACTTTGTCTGATTTGCTCGCTCTCGTCATAGAGGGCATAAATGGTGTGTTGGGGGACATCTTGGGGTAAAAATTCCTCATGAAACTCAGATAATGGTTTGTACAGGAGCTCTATAGGCTAGGGAAAAAAGTTTCTTCATTTTACAATGTAGTTAATTTTATTGCTGGTTTTATTTAGGATGCATAATGGTTATTTACTTTCAATAAATTTAATAAATGATAATCAATGTAAACTGAGCTGACAATTAACTTAAGATAAGTAATACACTGGTACGCCCACCTTTACATTTAACCTTGAGCAGGCTTCTAAAGATCTTGGGCTAGTCAGGACATATTTGCTATTTTCAAACTTTGCATCATCCAAGTTGTACAGGTCAATTTTCACACTCAGCTCTATATATGCATTTAAAACAATAAACTGTGATGAAAGTCATAATAGAATCATAAATAGAACAATATCTCCACAAAAATAATTGTCCATTAAAGATGTGATGCTTTTTTCCCCATCTTATCTCCCCTAGTCCATTGTCACATATCACAAAAGCCATGACACCACTTTTTTTTTGACACACACACCCCAAAATGTCACACTGCAGCCTACCCTCTCCAAAAAATCTCAATTTTAGAAGAAAAAAAAGGTTATTAGATTGGGTTAAATTTGGTAGGCTTATTAGAATTATTTTTAAAATGAAAAATAACTACTATAATTCTGATAAAAAAATATATATTTTAAATGCAATAATGTGACTTTACACTTGCAGATATCCCCCCCCCCCCTTAAGAGTGTGACATCTTTATGGAAGACCCCAGGGAAATATAATTTTCAAAGTGACTACTCGGAAAAAGATTTTTTGGTGGAAAATATGAAACTCAATAATTCTGCGCATGCGCAGTGACCTTAACTGCTGCACTGGGGTTAGGGTTTTACAGTTTCTCTCCATTGTGCATGTGTATCTTTTTCCAGCTAGAATCGGCCTATAATTTTACTGTTCAGACATAAAAACTATGCGGTTGACCAAGATGAGATGCTTAAATAGTACTTTAACTTAAAGCCTCAAAATGACAACTCACTAGAAATGCTATGTAACCAGTAAAATTGATAAACAATTAATAATTCCTCAATACCTGCTTTAATAGCCTATGATTTATAGTAGGCCTATGTATGGCCTATAGTATAATAAATAGTAGGCTTACTCTGAACTGCTAAGCCTTAACTTAAAACCCATTGCTTACTATTAATGTAAATGTTATTATGGGCCAACAATAATAAAATGAATTATTTGAGTTTAAATTGATAATTTTGAAGTTAAATTTTGATTTTACCCTGAGTCGTGTTCTGACTTGTTTAGTAAAGTATAGTTGTTATAAGTAGGCCCTGGGATAGGTAGATCTACGAGACGTTTAGCTAAAATCCAACACTGGATTTATTTATACTCTAAAGTTTAAGCTTTGATTTCAGTGCTTTAAATAACGTAAAAAATTAATCAGACTTACCGGTCTCCATTTATTTCACTTATGGTAAAACAATTTTTTTTAGAAATATTGTCATTGGCTAGCCATGATTAGGTACCAAAGTAGGCTTATGCCGCCATTGTACAACAACAGAAAGTTAAAAAGTTGTTTTGGTAACTATAGATCTTTTTTACACGGAAAAAATGATGATGGTTTTATTTTTTAATCTAGTTTTTCCTCTGTAAAAAAATCTTAGTGTAATTCATAACAATTATAAAATTATATCTATAATAATAATTAACCCCAGGCAGATTCTAAAACCAATTTTTAGTAGTATTTTTAGGACTTTTCTTCTTTAAAATATTGATTTTGAATTTATTTAGACTAGGCTAGTGTTAATGCCTTTTTTGGTTTCTTAAAAAAAAGAACAAGTAGGAGAACTATATGTGTTAGTTCTACAGTACACTGTTACTTAGGAAGTAAAGGTCACTTTTTGAAATAGTTTAGAATATCTATCACTACTTGAATAGATCTGGGTAAAACTCCATTTTAGCGAATTTTATTCCCCCCTTCACCTCAAATTGAGCGTATTTTATTACAAAACACAACCGAAACACACTCACTGACTTAATTTATGGGTACGTAAAAAAATCGCCCGCGACTTGTAATGTGAAAACCAGGTGACTCCTTAAATTTTAATAATTATTTCACATTTTGAGGAGGATTTATGTTTTTTAAAATACAAAAATGTTTCATTTATGTACCTGTTTTTAAACAATTGAATTAAAACTTTTCCGTAATAAATGAAGACTAGCGATGTTTCCAACAGATGCAACCATGCTCATTTATTTACTATAGCAGCCGTTTTATTTTTATAAGCTTTTAGCGCGAGATTCAGGGGGAAGCCACTCTATTTTACAAATGGCTGCTGTTAATATAGCAAATCATGCCATCAGACACTGCTGTTTAAAGTTAATTTCTGGCCTATATCGATATATTTAACCATTGATTTAGGTTTATTAGGCTATCCATTTATCTATAATATTTGACACAAATATATCACAATATACTTCTATTAAAGCCTTGACAATGAGGTAACGTTTTCGTACATTAATAGCCGCGGGCGATTTTACGTACTCAAAACGATAGATTACCGTTTTGTTTAGGTACGTAAAATCGGCCGAGACTAGTAATGTGAAAAAAAGGTGACTCATTAAATTTTAGTAATTATTTCATATTTTAAAGATGATTTAGATCTATGTTTTGAAACTTACAGAAATATTATCAAAGTTAATGTAGCTGTTTTTAAACAACTGTATTAAAACTTTTCAGAAGAAAATAATGACTAGCGATGTTTTCATCAGATGCAGCCAAGCTTATTTACTTTTAGCAGCCATCTTGTTTAGGTTTTTTTTTTTTGTAAAATTATAGTTAGAGATTCAGGGGAAACCACTCTTACTTACAGATGGCCGATGTTTATATAAATATAGTTTTAATATAGCAAATCTTGCTGGCAAACACTTCTGTATAAAGTTAATTTCTGGCCTATATTGATATATTTAGTATTAAGCCATTGATGTTGGTTTATTATTCAGTTATCTCTAATATTTGACACAAATATATCACAATTTACTTCTATCAAAGCATTAACAATGAGGCAACTTTTCCGCACATTACTAGCGTCTGCCGATTTTACGCACCTAAAATGATAGATTACCTTATATTTATATGACTTACACACAAAAATGTTAGGAAATCACACTGCCTATTTTTCTTTATGAATTTTTTATTTAGTTTTTTAAATTAATTTTGTCAAAACTTGAAAAAAATCCAAAATTTGGAATATTGAATGTGTAGGCTATATTTATCTAGATTTAACTTTTTTTTCTTGAAAATGTGTTCGTGTCAGTTAAGATTTTCATGGTAATGGGTAAAGGAGAAACGCATATAATCTAGATCTAATTGCAAGGCATGTATGATGATACTATAACTATCATGAACTCATAATGACCCTACGTTATGACGTATGCTGATAATTTTTATTAAAGTCAATGTGAACTCACGGTGAACACTTGACCATGTAGAAATCTAGGGATTTTTCCCCCGCCGACGATCACAAGCTATTTAATTGGGACTGTAACTGTATTGCTTAGGCCTATTTATAATATTTTTTACCGTTTCTAATTAAAACACTTTAATAAAAAATAAGTAGATCTATATCTATAATCTAATGATTCTAATCCTAGTGTTTTCCTAACTTTTTGTGTGTTTTGGTTTTGTTTATAATAAAATACGCTCAACCAGAGGTGAACGTGAAGCAGCGAACAAAATACGCTAAAATGAAGTTTTACCCTAGATCTGTTTACTGTATTTAGTTTATAGATCTAAAGAGTCATCTAGATTCTTTTAACTTTGAACTAGATCTAATTAATAGGCCCTAATAATATTATTAATATTTAAATATTAGGCCTACTTATATTAACTATACTATTAGGCCTATTTTACTATTTTAATTTTTAGCTTTATAGTATTTTAGTAATTACTAATTTAGTAATAGTAAGTCTAAATTCTAGTCTAGTAGTTAGTTTAAGAATAGTTTAAGACTTAAGATTTTACTTTTAGGTTCATGTACCTGTGCTGATCATATTGTGTGTGATGAGTGATGGATCCTGGACATAAAAAAAACTAAACTCATACGAACTTACTGAAACTAGAGGCGACTAGTTCTAGACTAGACTCTAGAGTTCTAAGTCAATCACAAGTGACTAGAATAGATTCTAAGTTTTATTATTGTGTAAATTGATATTGAATCATGCGATTAAGAATAAGACGACGCATGCCAATCTCTGTGTACTTAATTACAACTGTTCTTGGAGTAGCTGGTGGAGCTTATATTTGGCATCCACTTTTTGCAGAGCAACGCTTGAACAATCAAGGGAATAAATCCACACAAGCAGACAACAAACTGGACAGTGGAAAAGAATAATTCAAGAAATAATTTTTAAAAAACTCTTACAGTCTTAGAGAGTCTTTTTCTTTGCCGGCAGCATTTTCTCAAGGTAAAGAACAGTGTAATATTTTATGTTGACTTTTAGGTTAGGTCTATAATTATTAATTAGGCCTGGTTGTAACCTAATGAATTATTAGACATAGGTCTAATTACTAAATAATTAAAATTATTATAGGCCTAATTAATAAGACCAGAGGCTTAGCGACACATCCCGGCGCTATATATAATAAACAATAATATGAACAATCTCATTATACCAGTCACCACTGTCAAGCCACATACCACACGCAGTGTTGTGTGTCAAGCCTTAACCAAAATAAATCTCCCTTCATTATCTGATCAGTAGTGATATTTAATTAATTAATTAGCTAATTTATTAAATAATGAAATTTAACATTTCCTGTATGATGCTATAGCGGTAGGCCTATAATGTTTTTATTAATTTATAATATTAGAGAAACAGATGATTTGTACTTCATGTGCCCCATGGACCAATTGGTCTGAAAAGGAATTTAACTTTCCCTCTCCCCAGTAATTCTAGTGGTAGACTTTCTTGCAAGTACTTAGTGTATTTATAATGTTGACTGTTTCACTTTGGCCTTTATTTTCTCGTATGATTTTCACAGTTGGTTTAATTTTTCCCATTCTCAGTCAAGTCAATGTTTCAATGTTTATTTCCCATTAATAGATGTAACTAAAATAGGTTATAAACATTTTACCTGCATTCTTCATTTGAGTTTTAACTGTATTTGTCTGTTTATTTTTACAGCAGAAACATGTCACTTAAGATACCATTAAAAGTAACTGTAGTCTTCTCTACACTAACTATTGGAGCAATGTGTTACAAGTTTCTTGGAGTGCCTTACTTGGAGAAAAGGACAATGAACAACATAGAAGAAGATGGAAGAACTTTATATCAGTTAAAGTTAAAACAATTGAACTCAAATCAAGACAGTAAAGATGTTACTTTCAAATAGATAGCTAATAAAGTGTAGGGGGTTTTTAATATGTGAATAAACGAAACACAAAAATAGTTCAATAATAATAATAAATTTTTTGTTGTTGACTGTGTGTGCATTTCATGATTTTTCAAGGGAGTTGTATATTACTGAAAGTTACTATCTAGAACTGTTTTATTTGTAGAATATTTATAGAAGTGTTAGGAAGGTCGTCAAACAGCTTTCATTTCACGTCAAACTAAAAATAGCAGCTGCTGCTTAGTATCTACATTAAGGAGGGGGTGTGTCTCAGAGTTGTTGAAAATTATCTATACACATTATTTTTGCAACCCAAAAGCTTTGTACCTGAAGCAGACCTGAATAAAGCAGAATATCATTGGACAACTCTAAGCCCTATAGAAGGTTGCCTGTCTGGTCTGATGATTTATCTCTTACTACACCAATATATATATATAATCAAACTAAAAAAATTAAACTGGGGGGGGGGGGGTGTCCTACTCCCTGCAACTGTTCTCCATCCACACTTAAAATTAGCATTTATGTATGCACTTGGCTAGCTTCTTAATCCAGTCGCTACTACAGCTGAAGTCTATATTCTGACTTAGATAATAATATATGCACTAGCTCATTGCTCAATCTTAATAACCAAGTGCTGGTAAGTATGGGCTGTTTTACCATGTTATTCAACACTAGTTTCAATAACTAGAGCAACCAGCAGATTCTATAACTAAATGGGTGTTTTTAAAGAACACACCACCATGAGAGTTAAATTATTACAAATTTCAAAGCATGCTACATTTTCTCAAATTAAAAAATGACAAGTATTGAGGAATAGACAAGTACAGAACAATAACAATTTTCAACATAAAGATTGTTACATTTGTTTTATTCTATAAACATGTGTAATGTATGTGCATATCGAGCAAAGAATTTGTGACTTGACATCAGAAAACTGTCGACCATCAGCAAATTGATGCAAACCATCTTTTTCTACACCGCTGCTCAATATCATTCAGCGATTAAACTTGAAAAGGGCTAAAAACCTGTAAAATTGTACATAAAGAAATTAATATGGCGCTAACAACTTCATTGATTAAAGACATTAAAAACACAATGTGATATAGCCTGTGTAAATTAGCTGCAGCAAATTTCAGGTTTAATTAGCTAATTAATTAAATTTTGAATTATTTTTAAGTTAGGTCTAAAACAAACGTTATTCTCACTCTTTGATTACAGCGGCCTCTCTGGTTCATTGAATTTGGCCCCATAAAATGGTATTTTGGTAACAATAACTTTCCATTCTGTGACGTACAGGCCCACAAGAGCTGCAGCACCAGCGTAAATTGCTGCTGATGGCCCCCTGAAATAAAATGTGTTGATATTTACAAGCTAATCGTAGAGTAAGAATATATTTCTTCTAAAATCTAATTTTAAGGAATCCTCAATGAAGTGATGTCAAATCTCAAATAGCTAGTGTTCATACTATGGCATATGCTGTAGACTACTGATTCATGCACCAAAACTAAAAACAAACTCTAGGAGTTGTAAAATTTTAAATAAATAATTTTTAAAAATTAAGAAATCTGTATTGTATGGCCATATTTTCACTTAGTATATTAAGTGCAGTCACATTAATCTGTTCTTTTTCTGCAATTAAAGCTGTTATTGTACCAATTCAGTTTAATATAGCTAATATCCTAAATAAAAGAAGCTTCTATTACTCTAAAATAACAATGAAAGTACTTTCTAATTAATGTTTCCCTTACATAGTTTTTTAAAAATAGATTTTACAATAAACGCCTAACAAAAAAAAGGGGGGAATTTTTTTTCAACATTTTACAAATGTAATGATCTACTAGCCCACTTTGTTATCAATTAAATGTTAATGTCTTGGATTCTTAAAGATGGACAAGGTATGAATCATTTTTTAACACTAAGCCTGACTGAAAGTTATGGAAAATGGTTTAGATCTACAAGCCGTCAACTATTTATGAAAAAACATTTGAGACAAAAGTAATAGCAGAGCAGTAATAGACTGCTTTTACAATTGGTCGCCAGTATCTAATCTCTGTACTAGTGCTATAAACATGTGCACTCTCAATGACCCCAAGTACATTTTCAAATTACTTGGTTGGGGGAACTATAAAGGGACATCACCAACAATAGCAATTGTCCATGCAATGAGATATGCTTTAGGGCTGCTGATATAAATTAAATGGGTGTTTTTAAAGAACATACCATCATGCAAGTTAAATATGCTAGCCGGAATAAGATATGCATGCGCAATGGAGAGAAACTACAACTTGCCTTCGCGGCGATGTTTTCGATGGTACTGTGCATGCTTGTGTTTACAGCCGCAGAACCCTAACACCAACCCTAATCCTAGTCCTAACCCTCATTCTAACCCTAACCATAGGTCACTGCGCAGAGCTATCTTTTGAAGACTAGATGGAGACGTTGGGGAGAAAAATCTTCCAAGTAGTCACTTTGTATTATTATATCATATCCTAGCCTATATATAGGCTAGGCCTATTATTTGTGTAATATGATTTAGGGCTAAGCCAATGGGGCCTATCGGTATCTATCCAAATCTAATTTTAATCTCTAGCACTAGATTAGAATTGAATTAGACTCTAGATCCAGATTACTAAGATTAGGGGTTGGGGTGGTTGAGTCAGTAAAGCTCGTGGTTGCTAAACCAAAAAGTCTCTAGTTCGAACTCTCTGACCGATGAAGCTCGATAGCTGGGACATCCACTCTTTAGCAGAGTAGAAGAGACAACTCCAAAATCAAACAATTGCTGCCTAGTAGTGTACTTTGTTCTTGGTTGGACAACAAGCAAAGGCTATGGAATATGGAAGCAAATCCAAAAGAAAAGCAGGCTGAAATTGGAGTCAATGGAGGGGGATCCCTAATTAAAACGATGAAGAAAATTATCTAGATTATTCACTGATCTAGATTGCACGATGAATTGCGTCTCTTGTTTGTATGCAGTGATCTCGTCTCTTGCAATCAAAACTGAAACTGAGATGTTTCAAGCCTAACAATAACGAATTTTATCTGAAAATAAGGATAAAATAATTATTACTCAATAAAATATAATACCAGTTTTTAGCAACTCGAGAGGCAAATCTGGAAAGCATCTCGACATCTCTTTTCGAAACCATTGTCATAGTTAATGTTGACAACGTTTGTTAGAGGTGACCGGAAAACAATTCCTTGAGAACTAAGCCAGATCAAATTGCTGAAAACAAGCTAAACATCTCTAAATAATTTAAAACAAAATTCAAACAGAGGAAGAACAAAATAAAACTAGCGTAGATTTTATCAGGTTGAATTTGACGATTACAATTAAATGTGTAGACCTATAAATATTAATATTAAGAGAGTGATTATTTCCCATACTGTAGTTCGCTTGCTTTAATAATCCATTATGTAAAATTGTTTTTGTTTTTTTTTACAAGGACTACAAAACAGATTGTGATGTGTCTCTTGTTTTTTGTTGTGGTGTGTGTATATTTTGTGTTGTATTTTGTTTTGTGTGATAAATTGTTTCTTGTTGTCGCCCTACATGGTGTGTTCTTTTGTTTTCTACAGAGTAATCATTGAGTGTATTTTTCACATTAGCGAATCAACAAAAAGCCTTTTTCTCGACTCGCCGCTCCCTCTCGCCCGAATACCTGTAGACGCCTATGAAACAAAAGCTCATTCTTAGAAGCATTATTGCATCTAAGTTGATAAAATTGAAAAACTGTTTTCTATACCAAATGTGGTGACACCAAAATAAAAACTGGACAGTAATTGGTAAATAGCGGCACTGACCTTTACGGGGGGGGGGGGGGTTCAGACATCAACACATACATGAAGATGAAGAACTTAAGGTCTACTCATGTGTGCCTTTATTAAAACTAATTGCTCATGTCAAGTCACAATTTTAAAGTAAAAAAAAACACTAAATTTTTCATCAACTCCGTTTAATTGATTGAAATGCAACACAAGCATGTTTAATTTTTTTAAAATAAAGCATGTCAAACTACATGATATTTTTTTTATAAAATAGTAATTTCGCCAAACGAAAATGGTTGTATAGCCGAAAATGGTTGTATGATGTAGGGCCTACAAAAAATTAATGAATGAACGTATGTTGTCCTACAAGGTACATATAAAAAAGAATTCACACATTTTAGAAAGTTTCAATCCCATGTAATGTCCTGTGGGCACCTTTTGATTGTGAGTGGGCATCTAGTGGTAGTTGTGTGGGCATTGATGGTAGTTGTGTGGGCCTCTAGTGGTAGTTGTGTGGGCATCTAGTGGTAGTTGTGTGGGCATCTAGTGGTAGTTGTGTGGGCATCTAGTGGTAGTTGTGTGGGCATCTAGTGGTAGTTGTGTGGGCATCTAGTGGGGATCTGAATATGTTGTATGGGCACCGTGTGGTGTTGTGGGAACCTTGTGAGGGTGTGTGTAGGCCTACGTGTGTTTCCGCCAATGAAGACAGAGAGTAAAATCTAAATATTATTTACAAAACTCTCTAAATGTAGTTTGACTGTAAAACATTGGTGCATAATTAAAATTAACAATAAAAATTGCAGCCTCCTCAACAGATTAGACAGTAGCCACACACATTACAATTTACAAAGCGCTCGAGACTAAATGGCAGCTAATGCGATACCCGCATACATGACTAAACAAAACCTAGTACATACATCCGTCAAACATAACTCTAGTATAAAACTGACTCCAGTTCCCCCCTTTCACTCCCCCCCCCCCCCAAGAGAGTAGTCCTCAAAGACAGTTAATAAAAAACGCACGTCCACCCACTGAAGAGAAATATAAACGCTCGTGAAGCCAATCAAACGAAATATAAACACGACCAACCAATCAAACGAAATATAAACACGACCAACCAATCAAACGAAATATAAACACGACCAACCAATCAAACGAAATATAAACACACGACCAACCAATCAAAGGAAATGTAAACAAACGACCAACCAATCAAAATAAATATAAACACACGCCCAACCAATCAAACAAAATGTAAACACACGACCAACCAATCAAAGGAAATGTAAACAAACGACCAACCAATCAAAGGAAATATAAACACACGCCCAACCAATCAAACAAAATGTAAACACACGACCAACCAATCAAAGGAAATGTAAACAAACGACCAACCAATCAAATGAAATGTAAATAAACGACCAACCAATCAAATGAAATGTAAACACACGACCAACCAATCAAACAAAATGTAAACACACGACCAACCAATCAAACGAAATTTAAACACCCATAGCGAAGACGTAGCCTTGACATTAAGCAAGAGAGCAATCAGGACTTATTTTTATTTAAATTAAAACAATACTAGACAGAAATAATATATCTACTCAGCGTTTAGTAGTGTCATTGTCTGTTTACGTTATCGTTCTGTATATGTCGTCGTTCAGGAACATTCATGTTTCTGTCGATTTCGTCATTCTGTGTAGACAATATAATGACAACCCGTCTTTTTACGAGAACATTCTGGACAGCCAGATTGCGAGGAAGACTTGTGGAGGGGGGCTGCAGTCTGCTGTTCTTGGTCACTTGATTCACACCACAACTTAGAGTCAAACGGTAAAGTTAAAGAAGTATTTCCTAAACAGTATCCGTGCTGCTAGCTTTCGACACGTCTATTGGCAGAACTGATATATGAATTAGTTCCGCCTATACATATGTACCATAGTGTCAGACAATATAATCATGTCGTTGAATGATTGTTAGACAATACGGTCATGTCGTTGAATGATTGTTAGACAATACGGTCATGTCGTTGAATGATTGTTAGACAATACGGTCATGTCGTTGTATGATTGTCAGACAATACAGTCATGTCGTTGAATGATTGTTAGACAATACGGTCATGTCGTTGAATGATTGTTAGACATTACGATCATGTAGTTGAATGATTGTTAGACAATACGGTCATGTCGTTGAATGATTGTTAGACAATACGGTCATGTTGAATGATTGTTAGACAATACGGTCATGTCGTTGTATGATTGTCAGACAATACAGTCATGTCGTTGAATGATTGTTAGACATTACGATCATGTTGTTGAATGATTGTTAGACAATACGGTCATGTCGTTGAATGATTGTTAGACAATACGGTCATGTCGTTGAATGATTGTTAGACAATACGGTCATGTCGTTGAATGATTGTTAGACAATACGGTCATGTCGTTGAATGATTGTTAGACAATACAGTCGTGTTGACAGCGGTGTCTTGCATGAAAAATTCAAAAGTTATCGAACAGCCGAGCAACCAGCTGCTAGTAGATGAATGTAAAGTTATCGAACAGCCGAGCAACCAGCTGCTAGTAGATGAATGTAAAGTTATCGAACAGCCGAGCAACCAGCTGCTAGTAGATGAATGTAATGCTGTACAAGAGCAGCAGCTGTAGGCAGAGCTGTGACACCCAATCACGTGACGTGGAACTGCTGTTGTTTTCTGACTCTTGCGATGACCTATTTTCTGGGTTCTCTAAAGCCTCGTTTGATTGGGTCTTGTCTTCTGGAAACATAAAAAAAAATAATAAAAAGTCATAAAACAGACTTGCAATTATTGGTCGTCTGTTATCTGCTCACCTCAAAGATTGCAAAATAATTTCTCTAGGCCTAGCTTATCTTATAATCTACTCTTTGTTTACGTGGCCTAGCGTTATAAATTATGTAAAGGAATTATTCAATGCTTTTTATTCTTGTCAACCTAACATGTTATTTTACAATTCAGCAGCTTTAATTAATTGATTCATTTTATGAATTGAAACAAATATCTTGATTACCTCGCTTCCAGTTCTGTGAACCTGTGAAATAAAAACATGAACATACCAAGCATTAGTTTGTATGAAAAAATATTAGGAAAAATTTTTGTCTAACATGTATTAAATTCAATTAGGCTTACGAATAGAATATCATTTTTAAAACAAAATGAACAAAATAGAAATAACTTTTTTTAAATTAAATAAACAATAAAATATTGAATACACTGGCGAGCACTGAAGCGTGACGAGGATATCACTTTGTGAACTCACGTAATAGAGAATATAAGATCAATTAAAATATAAGATCAATTAAAATATAAGATCAATTAAAATATAAGATCAATTAAAATATAAGGTCAATTAAAATATAAGATCAATTAAAATATAAGATCAATTAAAATATAAGGTCAATTAAAATATAAGATCAATTAAAATATAAGATCAACTAAAGAGTATAAAATTATGTTGTTAAATAAGGGAAATTAAATAATAGAATAGAAAGACTAGAGCGTTTGCAATCAAGTGGTTATCCTTTATGTGCACCTCTTATTTCGACCTTGACCCCTGCCATCTGCGCACGCTCTGTGGAGCGACAGAAGTAAAGTCCAGCGTCCTGTTCCCTGACGTCCTTGATCTCGAGCTTGCTGCTGACCAGCCCTGACCCCACCGCGTTCAGGGTCAGGGACGTGTACACGCTGTATCTGTGGTCACCGTATATAGGCTTGCCATCTAAACACAGAGAATTTGGTTTAACAACATTACATGAGAATTGCCATCTAAGCACAGAGAATTTGTTTTAACATTACATGGGACTTGCCATTTAAGCACAGAGAATTTGTTTTAACATTACATGGGACTTGCCATCTAAGCACAGAGAATTTCGTTTAACATTACACGAGACTTGCCATCTAAGCACAGAGAATTTGTTTTAACATTAAATGGGACTTGCCATCTAAGCA